TACAAACCTATATATTATTATTTGTATCCTTTTTCAGCCTGTATCTCCGAAACGTAAACAAACAGGGACTACCGCACCTCTCCGCATGCAAGGATGGGTGGGGGTGGATCTCGGTATGCGTGGAATGTTACAAACCTATATATTATTATTTGTATCCTTTTTCAGCCTGTATCTCCGAAACGTAAACAAACAGGGACTACCGCACCTCTCCGCATGCAAGGATGGGTGGGGGTGGATCTCGGTATACGTGAAATATTACAAACCTATATATTATTATTTGTAACCTTTTTCAGCCTGTATCTCCGAAACTATTTGAGTCCGGCCCTTATATATATTGACTCGGGAAGACATCCCCAACAACATATTTAAAAATCAAGCGAATCGGAGAGGAAGTCGCTTTTATGCACAATTACCCAGACTAGTATTAAATTTTATAAACGCCTTTTTTACACGTGGGTATTTATTCAATATATCAAGCGTTTTCTGTTTATCATTAAAAAAAGATACCAATTCTGAATCTGAATTCGATTGCTGCAGACTATTAGATTCATTGAAGATGAAGAATTCATCTTTACTGGAATTAGAGATAATTGTGGTTTCAAGAGGCACAAGCTCGTCTATAGCCGCGTTACACAAGTTTCGAAAACGTGACACTTCCTCGCAGGACATGGTCTTTGGAAGCCACTTTAGTTTAAATGACGGATGTAAACACGAAGCAATGATAGCATTGTTTACTGTTTGAGATTCCTCCAGGTATCTCATTTGGTACTACCCTCGCCATCTCACGGCTATTCTTAAGGCCCAGTGGGACCGCGGGCGCGACCGCGCGATGGGCTACCAAGCGCGTGATGGGCACGTGGCCATCGCTCCTGGGCTTGCGCGTAAGCTTAGGAAGACCGGGAGTAAGAGGCACAGTCGTTGTAAGTTCGCTCTGGGAGACGGAAGTCTCGTGCTCACAATCACGGAAACGAGTTCTAATGCAGTGCTCGTTAGCTCACCAGGGACAACCTCTCAAGTTCAGTGCACAATTCGAGTGAATCGGTGTTCTGCGCAAAGGCCTCTCACATTGTAAGTGCACGCACGCTTGTAGCCGGCCTCCGGCTCAACGGGCGGCACACCCCCGACGGTCTTGTGCGAACAAGAGAGCTCGACGGACTCGCTCACCCAAATTCTACACCAAGTAACTCTCAATTGTATATAGTGTACATACGATTAAACAGTCACCTCATTTTAAGAAACGGAATTGTAGTCATTCTCGCCACGTTGCACGTCCTTTTTCACCCCCCGATCTACTCGCAGCGCTCACGGAGATTTCGCGATCATTCGATCTCATGACGAGATTCGAATGTGAGGAAATTTCTCAAACATTTACTGTTGGCGAAAAATGGAAAAAGTCTTCAAATCTCCTCTCGAGTGAAGAGATGAGAATTGATACGACGCTATCTAAAAATCTTAAATTTTTTTCATGTAGCATTCTCATTCTCAGTTTAAGAGAAAAAAGATTTGGCATTAAAATGCCATAGTAGCATTCATTTTCGCTCTGCAATCGGTCTAATGCCAACGCAATGGGAGATAATACGGCGATGCATTCTTCTAAATAATTCAACTCTACATCTTTAAAAAGAACATTTGAATCTAATTTCGGTATTAACTTATTAAGTTTCTCTCGATGTACTAAAAGATCGGACAGTGCATCAAATAACGAATTCCAGCGTGTAGGGGTTGGATACTTCAAACTTTTTCCTAAAATCAAGAAATCAACAATTATCTCTGATGTTTTTGGTCTTCGAGACATATTCCACAATATCGTGCATTTCCCCATTGCTGTATGATGAATTTTGGATGCAACAGAATTTTGTTTCAACGCTTTTGTAAAGTCCGTAGTTGCCAGCAAGCTTAAAGTATGGCTTGCACATCTTAGGTGGTTTGGTAGTTGAATAGTGGAATGAACATTGGTATCCTTTTGCTCGATATTACGAAATTCCAAATCTATATCTACTTCATCGACATATTCATCTAAATCTTCTTGTTCGTCATTACAATCTGAAAAAGAATGTATTTATAGATATTCAAATGTACTATGACTGTCAATGACCAAAAATATGTAGTTATCAATTCATCATGCATACGAACATTCGGAATCTATTTTTTCTTTAGCTTCTTCTACCGCAGTAGGTATTTCTTTTTCTAACACAGTATTTTTATCTTATAACCGAATTCTTTAAAGGCTTTGACAAAGTTCGTTCCATTGTCAGTTACCGTTGAAACGATCTGTCCGCTCTTCAAATTATATTGCACATTTATTTCAAATAATAAATTTGCTATCCAAATATAATTATGTGGT